GCACGGAAAGAAGAAGAAGCAGGTAACTGGGCACAAAGCCTGCGCGGGGTCCCAGGCAAACGCGGATACAGCTTGCAACAGGCCCCCCCGGGGAGGGTGAGAAGCGTCGAATTCACTGAAACTTCCTGTCTCAAACTGCGCCCAGAGGCCCTCGGTGAGTTAACATTAGCATTCCTTTGCGTAGAAAATCTACGTATGATCGCCCTGTATCCGGACAAACGGGTAACATATATCTTCGATTTTATCCATCATTTATGGATGGACTTGTTATAGATGGATTTATTATCTGCGTACAAATGAAAGGATAATTTCATAAAGTGCAAAACGGAGTGCATGCGGGGCATATGCTAAATAAAAATGGGAAACACGTGCCCGTTTATTAAGCTTCTCTCTCAGTTACTTATATGGCTTTATACGTGTGAGTATGTGCAGGCCATACTAGACACTGCTTCTTGCTGTGGAATTCTCCAGCACGTTTGAAAGTCACTGCTTTTTTTTTTTTTTTTTTTTTTTTTTAACCACAGCAAATTGAGGAACGGAAGAGTGTGTGGCTGGCTGGAAAGGCCCTCAAGAGAACAACCGCCCTTGAAAAAAAGAAAAAAACAAAGGAAAAAGAACAAAAGGGGGAAAGAAAGAAGGAAAAAAAATATTGAAAAGTCTTTCCCCCGTTTCTTTTAACTACTTGCAAGCCTGGGAAAATTGGTGGCGGCTTCCCAGCTCTTTACAGCCCTGACGTCAGTTTCGATCTTGCTGTCCCGTCTTTTGAATTTTTTACTCCGCCTGCTCAGCTTAGAGCGGCCGTCTTCCTCAGTAATGTGGGGCCCCTGGTGGCCCTGCCTGTTGTATCTTCCCAGTGTCCCAGGGCCATGTCAGCATGAGCCCGGAGACGCGAGTGAATCTCATGCTGCAAATTTCAAAAAGCATGTGGTCTGTTTCCACTGTATTAGATGCTGTTGTCTATGAGTGAATCTGTAATTATTCTGTGGCGACAACTTTCCGTCAATTCTTTTCTAGATAGGCTTTTTTTTTTTTTAATATTTTTATTTATTTCTAGGAGAGAGAGAGACAGCGTGAGCAGGGGAGGGTCAGAGAGAGAGGGAGACACAGACTCCGAAACAGGCTCCAGGCTCTGCGCTGGCAGTCAGCACAGAGCCCGACGCGGGGCTCGAACCCACGAACCGCGAGATCATGACCTGAGCGAAAGTCGGACGCTTAACCGACTAAGCCACCCAGGCGCCCCTAGATAAGCTTTGTAAGTTTTTGAAATTGAGAAAATAACCTTTGAACGAATAAAGTCAAAGTTGTCAGAACAAAGAGAGGTTTTGTTTGGTTCCTTTTTGTTTTACGAAACTACTAGAAAGAATAAGGGTGAAAGAAAATGGCTGTATGTGAAAAGTAGGATGTGTGTTTTGGCTAAAAGAAAGTATGAGGGATGGAGATGCATTTTTGGTAAGGAAGAAAAGAGAAAGTGAGTTTATTCTATTCTTATCGTTCCAGAATAAGAAAGAAAAAAGATAGGACAAAACCCAAACGGGTAGAGAAAATTGAAGGCTTGTGGAAAAGGTATCTTATGTGTGGCCAAGCAGACCAAGATTAAAACGGATTTATTGAGGGGCGCCTGGGTGGCTTAGTCGGTTAAGCGTCCGACTTTCGCTTAGGTCATGATCTCGCAGTTCGTGGGTTCGGGCCCCGCGTCGGGCTCTGTGCTGACTGCCAGCTCAGAGCCTGGAGCCTGTTTCAGTCTGTGACTCCCTCTCTCTCTGACCCTCCCCTGCTCACGCTGTCTCTCTCTCTCTCTCTCTCTCTCTCAAATAAATAAAACATTAAAAAAAATTTAAAAAACGGATTTATTGAAGTTAAAAAGGAAAAAAAAGGGCTAATTTTACTTTTTAAACTTTTTTTTTTCTTTGAGAGAGAGCACGCGTAGGGCAAGAGCAGAGAGGTGAGGGGGTGGTCAGAGGATCTGAAGCGGGCTCCCCACTCACAGCCGTGAGCCCAGTGTGGGGCTTGAACTCATGAACTGTGGGATCCCGGGTGCCCCAAAGGAAGAATTTTAATATCCAAAGTACAATGGTGCAAAATTAGAATTTGGTTTTCTCCCTGTTAGAAGGACAAAGTTTTCTTAGATTATTGGTCTGCTCTTAATAAGAAATTGAAAATAAAGGTTTTTCTTTACCTTTAATGCAATCTGCCTAGAAAACAAAGATTCACTGGTTTTTGACTTTATCAGGTTACATAAGAAACAACGGAGTTTTATTTAAAAAGCTAAGTTTTTTTTTCAACGAACATTTTAATGTCATGTTCCATTTCACGGGAAGCATTGTCAAATAACAAGTGATGCTAAACTTTCTCAAGTAAATACTTACATGGAAGTTATTGATATACATGTTCCAGAAATTATATGAAGTTCATGGGACTCTGGTGTACTGATGTAGTGTTATCCGTGATAATCCAGCGATTGTCTTAGAATATTGTATATCAGAAACGACCAAATTTGCTTGTCAATTGCATTATGATGAATTCATCTGAGGTTCAACTATTGCCGATTTTTAAGTCTTTTGTCATTTACAGACAGCTGTTGATTCGTCCTGATGTTTTTGCAACAATGTTCCTGCAAGGATGCTTTATCTTTGAGGAGATTCATGAAAAAGACCCTGTAAGTACTCTGTCGAATACAGATTACTGATGACTTTAAGATCATAACACTGACGTGGGTAAGAATTTCTAAACCTTTCATGGAAACGTGATGAATTCATAAAACCCGCAAAAGATGGAACTCAACAAGAATTAATTAACGAGACCAAATGAATTAATGAAGATGATTGTCATTTTCATGACTTCATTTAAAATACTGCTGGTTCTTTAATGTTTGGTTTTGTAGATGTAAAAGGATCTGAAGGAACCTGATCAATCACTCTTCCTGCTGCACTTGAGATAATCAGGCCGAGTTTATTAAAATTCGACTTAATTTGCAAAACAAAGTCGTCTTGCTGTGGTTGTCTTGGATGCAAACGAAAATGACGACGGAGAGAAAATTATGTTTCGGTAACACACCCTTGTGGACATTCGATTCCAGTGCTGTTGGTCATCTTTGAGGTTTATTTTCTACCTGTAAGCTGGACTGGGTCCTGAGTTCTAGCTTGCTCCAATATTTGGCTAAAACTCTCGAGACTAGCATTTCCAATGTTCTCCCACTATTTTGACTCGGAATCACTGAAATTAAACCTGCCCCTTCCCGGAAGCCATGCAAGCCGAAGCTGGTCAACTTGATATCACACCACAAACAGGAAAATCCGTCGGATTGCCGGACCGCCCTTGCTTGCAGTCTATCTAAAGATATGTAGAATCTGACATTTCGAAATCTGCTCTCAACTGACTGCTCTCCAAATTTAGAAAACGGGATTTGTAATTTCCTTGAACTATCAATCTTTGTTCTTCTCTTGTTAACATAGGAATGCCTCTCATTCAATCGCCTGATCGCTCACATCCTATAGACGCCTAACTCAGGTGGAAGCCCACTGGCAACACCACCTCCTGAAACAGAACGTCAAGTTCATCCTGCCCTGGGTAATCACGAGACTATGTGCCTGCTAATACATCATGTTATGCCTATGTGAATAACTTAAAAAAAAAATTTTTTTTTGTAGTTTGACTTAGTAAGGTAAAATCTGAGTCTGATTATAACCCATTTGATTTATTTGGTTGGTTAAGCCTTGGCTCCTGGGTATCTCTGCTCTGGGGAATTTTTCAATCCTTGGCTAATTGTTCTCCCTACGATCATCATCGTATTGACCTTTCTAGTGCATTGTATACTGTTGAAGCTTTTAGATGCCTGTGGGCAGCCAGTCACACGCCAAACGGTATCCATCAGGATCAGGCAACCGGGTGAAATCAGCAATAACCACGTGAATGATGGTGGTGCCTGCACGGCCCTCCGGCCTGATGATTCAGCTAATGGAAACCGCAACTGGCAATCCTCTGGCCCGACTACATCCACCGTGGTAACCAAGAATAATGCTCTTATGGCCGGTCATACTCTCGGCCTGCTTCACGAATGACCAAAAGGGGCGAACTGCTAAAATCAGAAACAAATGAAGACCAGCCTTCAAGGCCCCTGAGCAGACAGAACCGGTTTGGTCGGGCAGGCAAAGCTGAATTCACCTTATTGTGCAAGGCCAACTGGACCCGGTCCTTTCTTCGTCCTGTCTCTGGAAAGGAGCGAAACTTGAATTGCTTCCCAGCGTTGCCATGACTAGTAACCACTGAGCATGAGAACCTTGTCACTCGGCACTGTGACGCGTCAACAGTCACAACTTTCTCCTGGTATGAGCGGCTGTAGAACAGCACCCCTGAGCACCCCATGGTCTGGTTTCAGGGCCCCCGGCGTGCAACCTTTCTGGTGTGTGCACAGTGAATTTTTACTCATCGCCACTTCAGTGATCCACTGGGTTTATTGCGGCTGTTTTGAACCTGAAGTTCTCTCATTCTGTCGGAAAGGGACACGGCCCTTTTAGGCCTTTTCTGCCTTGCGCCCATGGCTGCACTGGTTTTTACACTTGAGCAATCCCCTCCGAAAGAGAAGGTGAAACTGACCTATTGGCTCAAAAAAAAAAAAAAAAGCGCCCCACAATGAGGAAGGTGCCTTTGCTGTAATCACTTCTGCCAAACCGGAACACAGAGCATGTCATTTCAGACGGCACGAGGGCATTTGCTAGACCCTCCCCACGTCCCCTCGGTTCCTGGAACTCTGTCGCAGCAGCCTGTGTTGGCCGGCTTCTCGGGGCAGAGCGTCCTGTGTCTCGGTCGCGGGGTTCTCTCCGGCTGGGAACGCAGGGAGGGTAGGAGGCGAACGAGATTGGCATGGCGGGCCTCCAGGGCGGAGAGGTGACCCAGCTGGCTGGGCCGGGCTGAGTGGCTGGGCCCAGCACGTGACCTCCGGGGCCCGGCTCTGTGGGGGGTGGGGGTGGGGCCGCCCTGGGCGCCTGGGGACGAAATCGACATTTGTCTCTGGCAGCAAAGTGAGTCTGTCAGATTCTGACTCCAGTAGACCCTCCGCCCCCGGGAGCTGGGGGTTTCGGTAGCCTTTTAACTTTCTATCTCAGGAACCAGAAAGCAAAAGGTAAGAGTTACTTACCACCTAGAAAAACAAGCTTGCGAGGAGTGACCTAGGAAACCACACGGCCACACTGTTGAGTTTTTAGATCCGGTGCTGAAAATAATAGCTCGTTGTGAGGGGCAAGGGCCCCTGTTTGTTTCCAAATTACAGAAATGACCCCTCTGAAAGGAAATCTGGTTACTGTGGAGGGAACGCGAAAAAGGGCCCAGGTTAAATATAGAAGGACATGAAACCGGCGGAATAAATAGCAAGTAGGTAACTCTTGTCTGCCTGTAAAACAATCTGTTTCACATCTCTTTCCGGGCCCTACGCAAGGGAATGTTCACATTGGGATTTAAACTCTATTGAAAATAAACTAGTCTGTATGAAGCTGGAATTCAAGTAAAACCAGTTCCTGCTTCTGTCCTTCCACATTTCAAAACCATCTCTATGGCTTGGCAGAAGAAAACTTGGTATGTTCACTGCTTAAGTTTGAAATACGCCATTTCAAATTTACATGATCGCTGTTGGGATTTCCGAAGGCTTTCTAGGCAAGGCTGTTTGAGTTGTGAATGAGAAATGTTGACATCGTGCATGTTTTCTGTAATAGTAAGATGACTCACTTCTGCAGAATGCGATAAAAATTAAAAAGCGTGAAATGGTGCTTGTGAATTAACTCCTGCATGTCTGGGACCAAATTCCTTGCCAGAAGATGTTAAGAAAACACAGACACAGCTACGGCCATGCTCAGGCTATAGTGCTGTATTTTAAGTAATCAAATAGGCGGGTAAGTAGTATGAATATACGGTATCCCTATTCTTTTTTTTGGCAAATACAAGGTAATATGTATTAGAATGTAGCTATTGAGAGTCAATAAAAGCATTATTCACCGGTGCAATTAGTATTATATTTCATAATGGATATGCTTCAAATGAAACTGTTAGATGTACGACTTGAAACACCGAACCTCTGCGAAGCATTTCCGTGCACTTTTGTATTTCAGCTGTCCTTTTGATTTACACAAAATCGGCCTCCGTTGCATCTGATAAAGACTCTTAAAAATAAAACACTAAATTGTTCCCTTTCGTTTCTAATCCCTTTATTGCTAACTCTCTGGAAATCCTATTACACGCTTGGAGCCTGTAATCATTCGGGTTTCTCCTTCTGTGTGCCGTTTGTTTCCCGCAGTTGGTGAAAGGCCAGGCAAGCCGCGAACGCCCAGCAAACTGCCCAGAGGCGAGGCCGGAGCTGGGGGAGGGCTCCGGCTCCTCACCTCCGGGGACTTCCAGGGTCTTCCTCGCCCCCCACCCCCTCCCCGCCTCGCCCCGAGGGCGTCACGTGGCGGCGTGGGCCCCGCCTCCGGTGACGTCACCGCGCTCGCAGCCGTCGCGCCGAAGAAAGGATGCTCTAGGATGCGGTGCAGGTGGGCGGCCGGGATGCGCCATGAGGCACTGCAGGTAAGGGACGCGCGGCGCCCCGGCCTGCAGACGTGCGACCCGTCGGCGTCCCAGAAAGCGGAAGCGGGGTCTTGGGCCGCTGCGGCAGCCGCCTGCACCAGGCTGGGGGTGCGGCGGAGGGGGGGGGGCTGCTGCAGGCCCACGCGTGACTTGGGTCCTGGCATGCCCATCCGGGGAAGTGGGCAGGGGCCAGGCGGGAAGACGGGGGCCTCTCGCTCAGGAGAGCAAAAAATCTGGAACGATCCCCGTACGCGCATCATAAGGTGGGAAAGGGGCTTGTCCAAGATAACTGTCAGCTGTCTTCCAGCTGTCATTGTGCTTCATAAATCATGACACACTGACTCATTCTCCTTACAGGGGTTTGCCCTCAGTATTTAGCCTGCTTGCTTTTAAAGCAACTGCCCCTTTGCTTTGGACGGAGTGGAAACTTATTGGCTAGCAATTTAGAGAGCTTAGATGTGCAAACTAAATCGTTTGCGTTATTTTGCAGGGTTGCAGCGTTTAAAGGGGATGCGTCAGAAATGCATTCCTCTCCAGGTGTTTTTGGTCGATTAAAAAATAACGGTATCCAGTCAGACAAAACACAATAGAATAAATAAAATAAACTGCAGCCTCTGAAGATAAAAGGCGGGCGTTAAGAGAGCGAATTAGCTGCATCTCTGAAGAAGAAAGTGGATTTTGGAAGGGGTTGGGGTGGAGACGGATACCAAACCCCAGGAATTCCCAGTGTTCTATTTAATTCCCCGTGCTGAATAATTAGCCTGCTGGAAAGGGGCTTGATGACTCAGCAGCAGATGGGGGAGGGGGAGTGTCAGGTGACTTTTCTGTTCCAGCGGGTTGGGAGGTGGGAGGGGATTTTAATGGGCTCTTTTAAACGTTCTTACCTGTTTACATTCCTTTCTCTGGTTCAAATACTGCCAGAGGCCAGGACATATGTGGGCACCCTTAGGAGGAGAAGGTGGCATTTTTTCCTGTAAAACAGGAGCCCTCTGGAAGTCGGGGTGTCCATAAACTGTACTGGATCTCACACCATGAATAATTTGATTCTCCAGCAACTGTGGAGGAGGATGTTAAAAAGCAATGCTATTTTAGTTGATAATTAAAGAGGGTTCTTTATTCTTTTCCCCTTGCCGCGGGCTTACCGGGATGTCAGGCAGCCCCAGTAGCTTTGGCTCTAAGAAGGGGATTATATACTTTCTCTCTCTGCTTTATTTCCTGACCAATTTTCAGTTGATTTGCTCCGAATATTTATTTCAGAGTAAGGCAAGGCTATAAGAACAACGGAGAATTCTCTTCCAGCTTAGAACTTTATAGGATTGCCACCCAGAAGACATTAAGGTGGGAAAAGAGAAATGTGTATGTGTAAATGTTTAAATGCTTAAAGAAAATGGGGATGGGGTGAAGTCAGCCAGACTTCCCATTTGGTAAAATCAAACTAATGTTTCTGAGAAATAAATGCCATGTCAGAAAACGAGTTGGCGGGGCGCCTGGGTGGCTTAGTCGGTTAAGCGTCCGACTTTCGCTTGGGTCATGATCTCGCGGTTCGTGGGTTCGAGCCCCGCGTCGGGCTCTGTGCTGACTGCCAGCTCAGAGCCTGAAGCCTATTTCAGAGTCTGTGTCTCCCTCTCTCTCTGACCGTCCCCTGCTCATGCTGTCTCTCTCTCTCTCTCTCCTAGAAATAAATAAAAATATTAAAAAAACAAAAACAAAAAACGAGTTGGCAAGATATTGGAACATAGTCTCGCATATGCGTCAGCCTAGATAGAGACCTAAATGTCAATATCATCTCTCTGTTCACACCCATGCCTATATCTATATTAATATCTGCATACATTTATGTCTCTGTCTCAATTTCTACAGCTCAGTCTTTGCTGCTCTAGTCTTTGTTTTTTAAATTTATGTTTAACTTTGTAAGAAAACGCCGAACTATTTTCCAAGGTGGATGTACCATGTAGCATTGCTACCAGCAATGTAGGAGAATTTCAGTCAATCGGGGTCTTTGCCAGTACCTTGGGGGGTTTTTTGTTTTTGTTCTTGTTTTTTAATTTTAGCCTTGCTAGTAGGTATGTAGTGGTATCTCTTTGTGTTTATTTTTTTTAAGCAAATGAGTTTTATTGTATGTAAATTATTCCCTGCTGCGCCTTGGTATTGCTAGTTAAAAAAAAAAAACAAAAACCTAGCCCTCCTGGTAGGTAGTAATGATATCTCATTGTATTTTTTTCTTTTTAATTTTTTAAAGCATTTTTAAATGTTTATTTTTGGGAGAGAGAAAGTACACAAGCAGGGGAGAGGAGGGGCAGAGGGGGAGACACAGAATCTGAAGCAGGTTCCGGGCTCTGACCTGTCAGCACAGAGCCCGACTCGGGGCTCGAACTCCCAAACCGTGAGAGCATGATCCGAGCCGAAGTCGGACACTTAGCCAACTGAGCCACCCAGGCATCCCCTTTTCAGGTTTTTAAATAATTGACTTGTTTATTGTGTTTCCCCCAATAGAATACGAAGTCATGCAGTCAGGGATTTGTGTCTGTGTTGTTCATTCCTTTATCTCCGCCGCTGGGCGTGGTACTGGGCATATGTAGTTAGTGTTTAAGGAATCAGTCAGTGTTTAGTAATTCAGCAAACTTTGAAGGCCTGGTGGGAGCCCCCTTGCTCACACCGCAGGGGGTTAAGCCATCCGGGGCTCGCCGGTAGAGTCAAGGACGAACTGGATTTGGAAGCACATTTTAGGCTGAGATTATTATCAAGGAGACAGCTAGCAATTTTCATTACCTAGCTGGTAACTGATCTGCATTTGTCATTAATTATTTTCAAGTCCCTGGATCCAACCATGTCTGAAGCTTCAGTTAAAAGAAAAAAAAGTTACTTCTCCCATCCCATCCCCCTGCCTTTCGCAACCACCAATCTGTTCTCTAGCTTCTCCCTCCTGGATTCCACATATAAGAGGGATCCTGCCGTATTTATCTTTCTGTTGGACTTACGTCCGTTAGCATACTGCCCCCGAGGTCCGTCCGTGTCATAGCAGATGACAGGCTTTCATTCTGTCTTATGGCTGAATAATATTCCTCTGTAAATATATACCAGTTTCTTTACCATTTATCCGTCGACAGACACAGGTTGTTTCCGTGCCTTGGCTATTGTAAATAATGCCGCGGTGAACGTAGAGGTGCAGCTATTTTTTTGAGTTCGTGTTTTTGTTTCCTTCAGATGAATACCCAGAAGCGGGACTGCTGGATCCTAGGGTAGTTCTATTTTTAGTTTTTTTTAAACTTTTTTTGTTGATTTCTGAGAGAGAGAGAGGGAGACAGAATCTGAAACAGGCTCCAGGCTCTGAGCTGCCAGCACAGAGCCCGACGCGGGGCTAGAACCCACGAACAGTGAGATCGTGACCTGAGCCGAAGTCGGCTGCCCAACCGACTGAGCCACCCAGGTGCCCCTCTGTTTTTAGTTTTTTGAAGACCCTCCATACTGTTTTCCAGAGGGGGGGCCCCAGTTGACATTCCCACCAACGGTGCACGAAGGCTTCCTTTCTCCACATCCTCGCCAGCACTTGTTATTTCTTGTCCTTTTGTGAATAGCCATTTTAACAGGTGTGTGGAGTTACTTAGTTGTGGTTTTGATTTGCATTTCCCTGATGATGAGTGATGTTGGGCATCTGCTCATGTGCCCGTTGGTCATCTGGATGTCTTTGGAAAAATGTCTGTTTCAATCTTCGCTCATTTTTGGATCTGATTGACTTTTTTTTTAATTGTTATTGAGTTGTATTCTTTATACTCTTTGGACATTTGCCTCTTATCGGATATATGATTTGCAGATGTTTTCTCCCATTCAGTAGGTTGCCTTTTCACTTTGTAAATGAATTCTTTTGCTCTGCAGACCTTGTTAGTAATGCTGTCGTCCCACTTAGTTATTTTGGCTTGAATTGCTTTGCTCTTGTCAGATTGCAAAAACCATCGCCAAGACCTATGTCCAGGAGCTTACTGCCTGTGTGTTCTAGGAGTTTATGGTGTTGGGTCTTCTGTTCGAGTCTTTAATCTATTTCGAGTTAATCTTTGGACCTGGTGTAATTTTGTATATGTGGCATTTCGTTCAGGCTTCGGGCACCCTGATGTGTTGTTGCAGTAATTCAGCAGCTTATTTATTGCAGTTTCCTTCATTTGGTTCAGGTTGGCCACAGGAATTAAGATCTTTGGGTCGCCAGCCTTACCCCCCCCCCCGCCCCCAACCCTAGATAGAGCCAAACGGGTGATAGAGATGAATGTTGTAGTGACCCAGATTCTTCTGGCTTCCGGACTGTGTAACTTAGGGCACGTTACTTTGTGTCTTTGCACCACAATTTTCTCTTCAAAGTAACCAAGAAATGTAGGTCAGGGTTTCTCCACTTCAGCACTGGTGACATTCGGGGCTGGCTCAGTCTGTGGGGGAGGGGGGTATCTTGTGCAGGTAGAATGCTCGGTGGCATCAGGACCTCTACTCGCTAGATGCCAGTAGCGCCTCCCCAGGTCCTGACGACCAGAATGTCTCCAGGTGCTGCCAGGTGTCCCCTGGGCGGGGAGCGATGCCCCTGGCTGAGAAGCACTGATTTGGATGATCTCTAAATGTTCTTCTGGCTCCAGTATTCTAGAATTCGTGTCCCTGTGAGTCATTTGGTGCTAAGCCTTCCGTCAGAGATCTGATTCCCTTTTGTCACGTCGTATATATTGGGAAATACAATGAGAAGCCTTTATATACGCTGTGGGTTCCAGAAGGAGCTTCTGTCCGGAAGGGGAGGCCTGTTTGTGAGCGAGCTGTCCAGAGAGGAGAGCTCAGGCCCCACAGCCGCATCCCTTCCCCGTGTGCACTCAGTAGCTATGTCTCGTGCACTGCGGGGGTTGGGGGGGCCCTCGGGGCAGCGTGCTCAAGCGCGCCAGGCCTCAGGATCGGAGGTGCTGGGTCCGGCTCGCAGGGCCCACAGCACTTGCTGCTCCTGCTGCCTTGGCTCCCGGGGGATCAGAGGGACGGCC